AGTGTTTAGAGTGATACATTCATCCAAAGATCCAGCATCCAGTTGCAGCCGCCTTGCTGCTTGTGTCCTGTTGCTCTGTTTGTGTTTCTGTCCTTCCTTTCTTCCCCACCTTGCTCACGGGATGATCATCTAGCAGAAACCTGCATGGGTAAGGAGGAAGACCACCCAGGGGGCAGGAAGCACTACATGAACAGGAAACAGCAATGGCCGCAGTGTTGAGTGCTTCCATGACTCCTATTCGTGAGGCTGTCTTCCCCATCAGCCCATGTCCACCAGCAGCAACACCTTCACACCTCCAACCCCTTTGCAATATTTCTAGAGGGCGTTGCCTTTGTCTGGCAATGGGAGTCCGTTTTGAAAGTATATTTCTCAGACTCTTAGGAACTGAATTCTGGGTTAATCCTCCTAATCATGAGGTGCTCAAGGGAGACCAAAAAGCAACAAGAGGGTAGAAACACTCGCCTTTGCTTCCTCTGAGAATTACCTCTGGACAGTGTGAGCACAGGGTCCTCAAAGCTCTTGAAGTAATTTGGGCAAACATTCCACAGTGAAAAGAAAAGCGTAATTGGCGAATGGCTGCACAAATTACAGCACATCGTTATGGGATGCCAGATTGGCAGCCACGACAGAGGCCGGGAGGGAACTGCATGAAAGGCTGTCTGGTAGGGGTGTACCTGTAGGAGTGGCCCAGGCTCCTGGGGCTGCCTCCTTGCCTACACTAATTCTTTACTCCTCTCTGCAGCTGTGCCCACTGTTCTGTCGCTGGGCACAAAGGTATTTGTGCTTACCTGACGCTTGATTCTCAGCTTGACCCAGGGATATCGGGGGAGGGGCACCACAGAAGCAGAAGACAAAAGTACTATGTCTGCCCTTTACGCTTCTGCCTCCCGCCTTCAAAAGCCCACCCTGGGTTAGCTGGTGCTCCGTGTGGAGACTTGTATGTAGCACCTGCCTGGTGAAGAGTCCAGCCTCGCCAGACCCACGGCTTGAGAACGAGTTGCCTCACCACGGGCGGTTTATGACCAGCTGACCCACAGATGCAGAAGACAGAAATGCTCCTGCTGCACACACGGAGAAGCTGTGATCCTTTGGTGTGCACCACCATCGCAGCACAACTTGCCGACTGAATGCAAGCCGCTCGCCCCACTCGCTTTGACAGAGCGTTTCCTTGAACCCCAGCTCTCCTGTCTCTACCGCCCAAATTGCCTCCATTGTGCCACCCCCAGCTGGGCATTCTTTTTCTGGGAAAGGACTTCTTTTTCTGCAAGAGGCAGACTGGTGTTCATTAACAACAAGGGGAAAAGCTGAGCGAAACACAGACGACCTTTTATAAAAAGAAGGGCCACACAGTCAGAAGCACAGAGACGAAGTGACTTCGGAGAACCACTTTCCTGAGCTTGTGGGCAGAGCCACGCTTCAGGGCAGCAAAGGCTGCAGCATCTCTGAAGCTTGGGAGATGAGGAGCTGAATGAAGACTAACGTTGCCATGGCAGCCGAGCAAAGATAGCCACAGAAGTCACGTTAACCCTTAGGGACTTTTCCCCTGGAAATAGTGAGCAGTTTAGAGGGATGCCACAATTCTTTTAGAAGTTGCAGTCAGGACCCACGGAGGAAGAGCTCTCGGTTGGGTTCCTTGAAGGATACTCATGACTCAGTTAAAAACCTGACTTGACATGCCTAGTTTAAATAACGACTGTATCCATTCATACTGCCTCATATGGTATTTACACACATATCATACTCATGGCACACTCCCATTCCTGCTGTCTTTAGATTCAGAGTGAAGTTTTCTTTGTTTTCCTGCTTTTGGGGAAAGCAGAACACTGATGTTATTTTCTTTTGATGACCAATAATTTCTTATCCTTAAAAGCTTCTGCCCTCTAAACTCCTTTGGGAAAGTTAATCCCATCAGTTGATACTTAATAATGCCCCGGTGCAACCTGGCTGTTACTTATTTTACAAGAAGATGCCAGGAACAGCAGGGTTTGGGCTTGAGATTCACCATGGAGCTCAGGGAGGGTGGCGAAGGCTGCTCGTGGTGGCCATGGCTTCATGGACCATGTTCTTAGAAACCAGTGACTGTTCCTTACTGCTCCGATGTCCCTGTTTCCTGAAGTAGTGTCACCTGTCCTGCACTGTCTGCTAAAAACAGCTCTGTGAGCAGACGGAAGAGCTGCTTCCTTTGTTTAGGATGAAGACTAAAACCGTGTGAATTAAATTCCATTGATTTGAAAGGAAAATGTTTTTGTAATGAGGATTTGAAGGTCCTCCCGCCCCTTTTCTTTTTAGGTAGGGACTGGTTATATAGTCTGGCTTTAGAGTGGAAAGCTTTCTGAGTGCTGGGAGTGCAGGTGTGCAGCTCTGTGCCCGCATGGGGATTTGGATTTTGACCGTCTCTTTAAAATCCATTTTGATGGAACTGAAGGGATGGCTCACAGTAGTTATGAACACTTGCTGCTCTTCCCGAGGATCTGGGCTCAGTGTCCAGCACTCCCATCAGGTAGCTGCAGTCCCAGGAGCTATGGCGCCCTCTTCTGGCCTCCTGGGGCACCTGCATGCACATGGTGCATATACAGATAAGCAGGCACCCATGCATACACACAAATGCAAATTTGCTAAAGAACTATTTTTTTTGTTTGTTTTTACGACACAGGGTTTCTCTGTATTGTTTTGGAGGCTGTCGGTCCAGCCCGGCCTCGAACTCACAGAGATCCGCCTGCCTCTGCCTCCCGAGTGCTGGGATTAAAGGCGTGCGCCACCACCGCCCGGCTAGAAACATATTTTCTTATGTATTATTGTCTTAGGGTTTTATTGCTGTGAAGAGACACCATGACCATGGCAACTCTTATAAAGAAAAACATTTAACTGGGCTAGCTTACAGTCAGAGGTTTAGTCCATTGCCATCATGGCAGGACACATGGCAGCTCACAGGCAGACTTGGTGCTGGAGAAGGAGCTGAGGGGTCTAGGCAGCAGGAAGAGTCTGTGACACCTGGCCTGGCTTGACCATCTGCCACACATCCTCCAACAAAGCCACACCTCCTAAAGGTGCCACTCCCTATGAGCTTCTGGGGCCACTTTCAGTTGAAACCACAATTATGAAAATTTAAAATTTAAAGCTAGTATGAAAATAAACTCTTAGGCAGGGTACAGTGTGCATGGCCATGAATGCCTTTAATCTCAGCACTTGGGAGACAGAGGCAGGTGAATCTCTATGAGGTTGAGGCCAGCCTGGTCTAACATAGTGAGCATCGTGCCAACACTCTCAAATAAACAAACAAATAGCAACAAAACCCTCTCTTATTAAAAGTAAAACAAAGGATAGATATCACATTAATGAATTGAAAGTTGAATATTCTAAATTTGTCAAATGATTTTCAAATTGTATGAGTTAAATGAAATTCAAACAAATTGTAAGTACTTCTCTGAGGAACTGATCACCGTATTCTAAGAGTTTCTGCTAGAGTCACATGCAAACAAGATTGGAGACAGCCCCTGAAAGCTCACACTGGCCCATGAAAACGGCATATTTCCTCTTGTGTTTTTGTCTATACAAGTCTGTACAATATGGCGCCCCTTCCTTCCGCCCCTCAGTCACACAGCCTGCTGGTTTCTTGCCATTTCAGTGTTTTAGAGACCTATCAGATGCACCAGCCAACCAACTTTCCCTGGTCACCCTAGAAAGTCCATGGCCAATCACAGGTCTCAATTTGGAATATGGGAGTGGTGGCATCCATGTCCCCAGGGCTCCCAAGGAAACATTACAGTCCCACTTCAGTAGCCAGCCCTGCAGGCAGGAGAAGCTCCTGTGTGAGCGACGATGCTATTGGAAGCCAAGCAGCGTGGATCGCATGAAAGTGGGTAAGCGTGGATCGCATTGAAAGTGGGTAAACGTGGATCGCGTTGAAAGTGGGTAAGCGTGGGTCGCGTTGAAAGCGGGTAAGCGGAAAGAGTTGGGAAGAAGCCAAACTTGTGTTTGTGTCTTGACAGAGATGAGAAGCGGCGCTAAACAGGCACAGATAGCGGCCACTGCTGCTTTGGCGGAAGTCCCTTCACTGCATGCAGCGGGAGAGACACGGGTGGGCTGTTCCGCTTCAGTTACACAGCAGCTGTGCTGACTTTGCCCGGCTGCAGCTTAGGGTGCTGATACACACGGAAACACAGCAGGCACAGTGCCCACGTTAGTACAACATGGGCATTTGGTGACAGTGACTTTGACTCTGAGGACCACTAACCTAACGAAGTTCGCACCTACCAGGACACAGTCGTGCCAATGTCGTTAATCTTGCGGACAATACCGTGGTCCCATGGATTCACCAGGAGCTGAATGCCAAACTCTGTTAACCGGATGAGCACAAGACCCAGCAACAGATCACCGGAGGGGCTGGGGTGTGAGGAGTCTGAGGATGCCTGGGGGCCAGACTTACTGTAATTTTGGGGCCCGTGTTATGGCTCCAGGGAGGGTGCTACCTAGTTAGCTGTGCTGACCACTTGTTGACCTCCCGGTATGCGGGTGGGGCTGCCCAGCAGGTCTGCTGTGCCCCCAGGGGGATGTGGGTTGTTTCACTCTCTGGGTGGAAGACAGAGAAACCCCGGCTTGAAAGACAATGCAACCCACCACCAGCTTGCGAAGGTGTGGGACCCCGCTCATGTTGCATTCCCATTCAGCATTTGTAGCCGTGTTCCACCAAACGGAACACCGGTTCTCAACACCTGAGCTCCTGTTCGAGGTCGTGGCCTTGATGATCAGGAGCCAGGCTCCAAGGCCAGGCAGCCCCACAGGTCAAGGGGGGTTAGGTGGGTTGGGAGAGGCTCCTGGTCACCAATACTGGTCAAGTCTGGGCTTCTTTGTCCCCTTTTCCTCCTGCACACGGGCACTCAGGAACCGCTGGCTCAGGCTAGCCCCACAGGGCACTAACTGTTAGATGAGATGGCCACGCTGTGGTGTGGCACGAACAGGGAGGACTCGCGTTTCCAAGCAGAGCGAGGTCCCGGTGCTGCTCAGGGCTCCGTGGGGCGGCAGAGGGCGTGCCAGCGCTTCACCAGCTCCCTGGGCTTGCGCAGCATCTGGTCCCCGTGCTCCAGCGCCTTGCCTCGGGTGTACATGTAGGGGCCCACGACCACACGGCCCAGTGGGTGGCTCTCTGCAGGGGAGGGCGAGCTGTCATGTCCTTAAACACAGAAGCAAACCCCTCCTCTGTGAGCATGTGCCTGTCAGCACCGTTTCCTCAGCACTTGGAGGAGGAGACCAGGTGAGAACCTGCACTGCAGTTCCATCCTTCCCTGCCTGGCTCCCTGCCCCAGGCCATGTGGGACCCAAGGTGCGTGATTCGCTATGAGAGAAAGCACTTTGTAGAAGGAAGGCCACTTTCGTTGCTTCCTTTGACACCAGGCAAGGGCATCGGGCAGTTGTGTCCACCCATCAAATACCACTGGGGACAAGGTCCCAAGTCAAGCCCATGTGAACACTGGAGGCCCCGTGACTTTGCTTCTGTAGTCAGGGACAGTGACCGCTAGGGCATGGGTAGAGCAGGACAGCGGGCTAGGACACCCATCCATCCAGGGCCTTACATGCTCGTCTATTAGGCATGAAGAAACGCAGAGAGCACAACGCCCAGCACGGGAAACAGACTGCCTGACAGCTCTGACAATTCACCCAGGGCGAGGAGGAGGAGACTATCCTTCAGCCTCTTTCTAGGGCCCCACAGATAGAACCCAATTGAACTAAAGCTGGGTTTGAGCTCCAGGCTTCCTGTGGGCAAGCTCTGGGGCCTTGGGCAAATGTCTCTCCGAGAGCTGGTTTCTTTCATCAGAAACAGGGACAGCTGCGCTCGAGGAGCCTACAGCTCAGTAGTCCCAGCTTGGTTGCTCCTGGTTGCTCCAGCCGCGTATGCCGGCTGCCCATCCTCAGGGTTACTGCCGCTGTCTGTGATCTGCAGCACCGTCGGGCTAAGGCTGGCAGTGTCCAGCTCGCTGGCGTCAGCCTTGAGGCTGAAGGTTTCGTTGTACACGGGGTTGACAGAGCCCAGCACGGCAGAAGTCCTCTTGCTCTTGACGGATTTGTTGTGGTTCATCAGGGACACTTTGACAAACACGCCTGTGGGGCAGGGCACATGGACTAGTGGGCTGGAGAAGTAGGCGTGAGCCCAGCCCCTAAAGTGGGATCCCTGGCGAGGAGGGCATGTGACCCCCACCATTTTCTAGACAGGAAAACAGGTCTGGGCATTGGAAGATACCCATGGAGTACAGGGTGAGCATTTCCAGTCCAAAAGACTCAAATCTGAAATGACCTGATGTTTAGAACTCTCTGCGTGTCAAATGTTAAATTACATACTATGAAATTTTGCTGTTTTAAAGTCTTGTTAGGTGTGTGCATGCGTGTAGGCACGGATGTGTATGCTCAGATGTGCTTGTCCACGCAGAGGCCAGAAGGGACTTTGGGTACCTTCCTCTGTCACTCCTGCTATATTGTCTCAAGACAGGGTTTCTTACTGAACCTGATGTTCTCCAGTTGGGTTAGGCTGGCTGGCCAGGCTGCAAATTCCCAGGATGCATCTGTCTCTACTCCCCTGTGCCCCAGTTACAGGACTATAAGGCCATATGACAGGCTTTTCATGGGTGCTAGAGATTTGAACTCAGTTCTTTTTTTCTCAGTGAGTACTCTTACCCACTGAGCCATTTCTCTAGCCCCATATGCTCAAATTATTATTTTTTAAATTTATTTAACTTTATTTTATGTGCATTGGTGTGAGGCTGTCAGATCCCCTGGAACTGGAGTTAGAGACAGTTGTGAGCTGCCAGTGGGTGCTGGGAATTGAACCCAGGTCTTCTGGAAGAGCAGCCAGTGCCTTAACTGCTGAGCCATCTCTCCAGCCCCCCAAAATATTGTAAATACTGAATAAGGTCGTATTTGTGCGTTGTGATTAATGTGCGTATAATGTACAATGCATTGGATTTGGGTCTCCTCCCCCAAGATATCTCATTATATATATATATGTAAACATCGCAAAATCTGAAAAAAAATGTGAAACCTTCCTAGTCCTAAACGTTTGGGAAAGAGATTCCCAGCCAGTGGTAATGGGCCAGAGCCAGGTCTCTGGATTCTAAAGCCTGATGGATTCACTGGGGTCCCCCCCTGGGGGATGGGGAACAAGAGATAAACACTTCCCTGGACCTAGGGATGGGGAACAAGAGATAAACACTTCCCTGGACCTAGGGATGGGGAACAAGAGATAAACACTTCCCTGGACCTAGGCTTTCCCATTGCTGTATCCCTTTCACAGAGACCTGTGTGGGAATCCAAATGCGCGTTTCTCTAGAGAGAGAGGTTCACTGTGTAGCCCAAGCTGGCCCCAAATTTGTGATATGGGCTGGTGCAGGGGCTCAGTGGGTTCAATCTCCAGGACCAACGTGGCAGAGGGAGAGAAGCAACTCCTGCAAATTGTCTTCTAATCCTTACAAGTGTGCCATGCCTCCCCCACAATAGATAAATAAAAGTGTAACTTGAAAAGTTGTGGTTCTCAACCCCATAGAAGCTAGAACCCTCTTCCAGAAACAAATGGAAGCAGATACAGAAATCTACAACTAACCAATGGACCAAGCTCCTGGAGTGCAATCGGAGTGAGGGAGGAGTGATAATATGAACAAAGGAGTCAGGACCATGATGGGGAATCAGCTGACCCAAGCTAGTGAGAAATCACTGACTCAGGTCTGACAAATGGGGAACCTGCATAAGACCGAACTATACTGCCTTAATATAGGTGGCAATGGTGCAGCTGGGACAATATATGAGGTCACTGGCAGTGGGTCCAAGATCTAACACTAATGCACAAACTGACTTAGTGGAGCCCATTCTCTATGGAGAGATACCTTGCCCAGTCTAGACATGGGGCGTAGGGGGTGGAGAGGTGCCTTGGTCCTGCCTCAACTAGATGATGGGACAGACTTAGTAGACTTCCTAGGAGAGGCCTTACTCTCTCTGAGGAGCAGATAGGAGGAGGGAAGAGGAATGTGGAGGGACTTGGAGGAGGGGAGGGAGGGGGAACTGGAATTGGAATTAAAAAACAAATTAATAAATTTTTTAAAAAGGTGTGGTTCTTCTGCCTCAGTTTCCTGGGTGCTGGGATTATAGAGGTATGCCACCACACCTGATTCTTAAATGTGACTTTTTCCAAGTTGCTCCAGAGTATCACTTGAAGGATTTCAACGTCCTGTGTCTGCTTAGGTGTAGGTCCCATCCTCTCCTGTAGAGCCTGGGTCCACCTCCCTGAGCCACTGTAGGATGATGACCAGGATCAGAGGGAAGATGCTGGCCAGGCGGTGCCAGGTAGGCCCTAGCAAATCTTGGCAACCCACAGCAATGCTGATACTGGGTGCTATGTGCCTGGTGACCATCTCACTTCTAGGTTCTCGGCTTCCAGGTATCTCCAGATGACATGGTGGCGGTCCCCTGCCAGGATCTCATTCTTCAGTGGGAACAGCACGTGCCTGAGGAGCTGGTGCTTCCTTTGCTGGCTTACATGGTACACGGAGAACTTCAGCACTCTCTGGGTGACACTCCTGCTGGATACCTGGGGACAGAGAGGACCCAGGCCAGGGTCAGGTCTGGGGCAGGTGCCAGGTGGTATATATAACATGCTGGAGACAGGAGACACGTCCCAACTCAGGTTTACTTAGTGAGCCTTCTCAGCAGTAAGGCCCAGTAGCCTGGGGAAGTACATGGATAGACCTGAGCCTTGTCACACAGTGTTTTAAGGACTTATATCCATTGCTGCCTGGGGCCTTCCTTGGTAGCACAGTAACCAGAATCTGCCCTTGGAAAGTGTTTGCTTGCAGAAAAGTTATGCCTGAAATCATGGCCCGGTCTTAGGGAAATGGGCTCTCTTGTCTCTGAGCCTTGGCCTTCACAGCTGTGAGGTGGGGGTCACTATTCTTGTCTAGGCTGTAAAACCCCATCACTGTATCTGGTCTACAGAAGATGGGCAAATAATTCTGATTTTCTTTGTCAGCCCTTCTTCCCAGAGCAGGGAGGCCAAGATCAAGTTGGGGTGAGATAACCAGTCAGAGAGACTGTGGAGTCCTCATCCCTAAACAGAGCATCCTTCTCAGCCCCATCACCAAGGAGACAGCTAAGAAAAAGCAGAAAGGATGTAAGAACCAGGTGTGGTGGTGAATGCCCTGGATTTTGGGGCTTGGGAGAAAGAGCAGTTGGCTCTCCATAAGTTCCAGAGACTAGCCTGGTCTGTAACACAGTGAGATCTTGTCTAAAAAAAAAAACAAATATGAATTTGGGAGAACTGTGTTGGGGGGGTTTGGGTGGGGGTACTTGGAAGGGGAAGTGGGGAGAATGTGATCATGTTTTATTGGAAACATATATATGAAATTCTTAAGAATACAGAAAATTAATACTAAAAGGTTAATACTAAAACACTCTATGGCAAGGGTGTAGCATCAAGCTATAACCAAAAATGAGGAGGAGGGGAGGAGAAAAACCAAATTTGAATAAGTAAGTGAGATAATCCCTGAAAAAACATCAAACAAACAAAAGCCCCTTGAGGTGTGCAATCTTGGGGCAGTGATGAGAGCAGAGAAGTCTCCCCTGTTAGGTCTCCCAGTCCTGGCTCCTGGGGGAGGAGGGTCCTATGGGAGGGGCCTCTGTGCCTGGGCCACGCCTCTTCCCAGCTCTCAGTCTCTCTCCAGACCCGGTGATCACATGCTTTCTGGAAGTGGACTGGCCTTCCTTCCCTCTCAGGCCATTGTGCTGCACAGTTCTTAAGAAATGTTTGTCTAAGACTCTTGGCAGGTCCTTCTAAGAGCCCCTGGACACCTGCTGAGGTTCCCAGGCTGTGGTAAGTTTGGTGCCCAGGCATCCTTCCCAACAGGCTGACACATAGTCCCTTCAGACACCACTTTCTGCCCCAACTCAGATATGCCTAGAGCGTCTCCATTGGGTGACCTTGCCCATAGTACCCAGGATATTGGGTAAATTCCAACAGCCCATAGACCAGAGCACTGAGTAGACACTTCAAAATGTGCTTTCTCTTTCTTCTTTCCCCCAGGCACCCAGGGCAGGAGGAGCCCCACCTCTGACCATCTGTCTCCAAGTGAGCCTCATTTTAAAAACGCTCTTCACCAGGGCTACCTCCTGTAGACCCTGCTCCTGCCTGCTGAGGCACGAGGGTCCCGGGAGGCTGGAGGGCCCTGTTGATAGGAAGTCAGCTTATCCTGCACAATGCTCCTTCCTATGAAGCCTGAAGGGCACCATGGACCACTGCTCCAGAGGAGGTACCTGGAAGATGAAGTTCTCATCAAACTGTGGGTTGCAGGTTTTGCATTTCGTCTTGGGCTGAAGGAAGCCCCGTTCATCAGGCAGCAGGTGGAGTTTCACCAGGGGACTGCAGGTCTCTGAGGAGACTTGCAGTTGCCGAGCCTTGATCAGGCCCACCAGCAACCTCTCGGATTCCTGTTGGTACTCCACGGAGAACCACAGCCGGCCCAGGCAGCCTTCGGGGAAGTCTGTCTCACTCGTGTCCTCTGGGGACTTGTAGAGCTCTGGGTTGATGCTCTCTATCACACATGTATCTCCTACAACAGAAGGGCAGGGATGTCAGGCCAGCTGGAGAAAGACAGGGATGGGGGGCAGCAGCAGCCAGCTCCTGGTGCACCCACTCATTCTATGCCAGGGCCCCTTGCGCCTGAGTCCTGGGAGTACTTACCAGGGTTGGCACTGGAGGTGTAGGGCACTTGCTCTGGGACAGGGCAGGTGTCCTGTGGAGCCCAAGCCCAGTTTCCACCATGTAGGGGCACCCAGTCTCGGCCTTGGGGAGAAGGGGGTACAACAAATGGTATACCTGTGCAAAGGGAGGGAGACAAGGTGTAGGTGGCAAGTGACTTACTCAACCTCAGTGCTCAGCCAAGAGCTGAATGCAAGACGGGGGAGGGAGAGGAGTCAGCAGGAGCCAAGAGCATCACTTCTGGGCCTATACTAGGACACATACACACACTAGGACACTAGGACACACACACTCACTAGGACACACACACTCATACACACACTCACTAGGACATACACTCACTCACTAGGACACACACACTCACTAGGACACACACACTCATACACACACTCACTAGGACACACACACTCACTAGGACACACACTCACTAGGACATACACACACTCACTAGGACACACACACTCACTAGGACACACACACTCACTAGGACACACACACACTAGGACACTAGGACACACTCACTCACTAGGACACACACACTCATACACACACTCACTAGGACATACACTCACTCACTAGGACACATACACTCACTAGGACACACACACTCACTAGGACACACACTCATACACACACTCACTAGGACACACTCACTCACTAGGACATACACTCACTCACTAGGACACACACACTCACTAGGACACACACACTCACTAGGACACACTCACTCACTAGGACATACACTCACTCACTAGGACACACACACTCACTAGGACACACTCACTCACTAGGACATACACTCACTCACTAGGACACACACACTCACTCACTAGGACACACACACTCATACACACACTCACTAGGACACACACTCACTAGGACACACACACTCACTAGGACACACACACTCACTAGGACACACACTCTCACACACACTAGGACACATACACTCACACACACTAGGACACACACACACTCACTAAGACACACACTCACTCACTAGGACACCTACACTCTCACTAGGACACACTCACTAGGACAAACACTCACACACACTAGGACACACACACACTCACTAGGACACACACTCTCACACACACTAGGACACACACTAGGACACACAGACTCACTAAGACACACACACTCACTCACTAGGACACCTACACTCTCACTAGGACACACTCACTCACTAGGACAAACACTCACACACACTAGGACACACACACACTCACTAGGACACACACACACTCACATAGATATACTCACAGAGCGACACTACCCACACACATACATAGATATACACACATACATAGATATACACACAGAGAGACAACACACACAGAGACAGACACCACACACATAAAGTGTCTCTCTGCCCATCCCACAGTGTGGTGTGGGAGTCAGAGCAGAGCCTCTGACAACAGTCTGTCTGGGTTTGAGTTCCTAGTTGTGGTATCTGAACATGCTTTTCATATTCTCTGTGCTAGTTTCCCCCGTTGGAAAATGGCGTTCACAATGCCTGTCTCCAGGTAGGTCCTTCCAGCATGCTGATGACCTGAGATAGGTAAACCACAACTTGCCCCATTCTGAGAGCAGAGCGAGTGCTCAAGCGAGGCCTTAGAGGAAAAAAAAGCTCAGAACCTCACCTGCCGGGTGGGGTCCCAGCATAGGGGCAGAGCCTGTCCTCTTGTCTGCTGAAGGAAGAGGAGGTGGTGGCAGGGTCTGGCGTCTCCGGCAGCTCCTCATAGGTGAAGGTGGAGCAAAGCCTCCTCCACAGACAGCAGCTCACTCCAATCAGCAGCAGCAGTCCCCCAGCGATGCCCCCTATCACCAGGGCCAGCTGCTCTGAGACAGAGACCACCGGTGCAGGCTGTAAGCCAGAGGAGGAGAGCAACCCCCCCCCCCGACAGCCTCTCCCCTCTGGTCTTGAGAGTGAGCAGAACTGCAGGGTCCCATCCCGGGAATGGCACATAAGTAGGTTGTTTGCTGGTCTCAGCCCAAAGGACATTTCCATTGAGGACAGAGGGCCCTGAACTTGGAGGTGGCTGTGTTCCAGAGTAAAAGGCAAACCCTCGCTCACATAGCCTCCACTTTTCTGGGTTCCTGCTGGGGTTTGAATATGAGCTTGGGTGTGGCTGCCACACACTTAAGAAAAGTCTAGGAAGGAATCTGTGTCCCACGGCTTGAGAGAGCTCTGTTTTTGGAGGGATCCTGTAACCAGATGGCCGGTCCACCTGCCCTAGGCTCTGTAGTTAATGTCCATCGCCTCCCCACCCCGCCCTCTATCAAGGGCGGCCCATGCTTTGAGCAGAAGGTGGCAGACAGTAAAGCCTAGTATAAAGGGGTGAGACATGGAGACCTAAGGATCCTCGAACTCCCACATTTGCAGGGACCCCGGAGGCTACACCTGGAGCCCGCAGGGCTTGGTCTCACTTGCTGGTTGCAGGAATTGGGATCTCCTGGGCGGGTATGGGTCCTCCCGGGTTCAGGGGTGTGGGCAGGGAGAAGGCGGGACCTGAACACATCCTAACCGCAACGGTCTGGGAAGAGCTAACCATACCCCTTACTCCATTTACGAGGGTGGCAGGGTCGAGACAGGTGCTTCAACTGTCACAGAGCACCCTGGGACAGGGGTGGGAGGTGAGGCCACTTACCCACCATGGGCCTGCTCTTGAGCCGCGTGGCTTCTAAGTCTAAGGCTGTGACTTGGGCGGCGCGACGGGGACCCTGGGCAGAAGGGCGCGAGAGTCTCTGCACAGCAGCCTCCGGAAGGCTGGCAAAGGCTGCAGCGAGGTGGCTGGGGAGGCAGGGCTCCAGCGCCCCAGGCCATGGCTGCGCCCTGCCCTGCCCCGGTGCTGGCCCCAGCCCGGGAGGGGCTCAGAAGCACCGCTGCAAGCCCGGAAACCGCGGGCTCCGGGAGGGGCAGGTACCAGGCGCTGGAGCCAGAGGATACCCTGCGGACCCCTGCCAGGTAGGCACCAGGGTCACTCCCACCACTGGGGGCCTAGCACAGGCTTCTCCACAAGCTCTGACTGTGGGCTCAGCACCGGATGTCTCACACATGGTGGCCCTGGCAGACGACTAGCCTGCGGCCAGAAATGTGCCTCAGTCCTCCACTGACCCTTAGAGGGTTGAGCTGCACCTCCTCCAAATCTCAACCGGTTTTGGCTCCAGGTAGACTTTCCAATCCTAGGCCAGTGTTCCTGAGCCTTCCCAGGTGCAGATCTACCTGCCTGATTGTTCCAGTAGGAATGTGGAGCTAAACTTTCACAAGGCAGGATCTCCAGGGTTCCAATGCAATCTGTCACAACTTTAAAGTTTGCCAATGCCTCGCCTGGGTTAGCAATAGCACCTTGGGAATGGGAACATCAGGGGCTCTCAAAACCTTGCCAGTCTCTTGGAGGTGACTTATAAAAATGTGTAAGGGATGGCAGCCGCTATTAAGGTGACAATCTGACCCGGGTGATCATTGACTGGGTCTTCTCTGAACAGCATTACCATGGTGATTATTATCTCTCTGCTCTGATCTGGCTCCCACTAGAGGCTTTGCAGGGGTCTTTAGTGGTTCCTACCTGTGAGAATGCCCTCCATAAGCATCCTTCTTCACTCCCGTAGAACGTCCCTGGGAATATGTAACCAGCAACTCTGAGACCCAAGGGCATTTGTAAGAGGGGGCCTGTGGTGGTTTGAAAGAAGATGGCCCCCGAAGGGAGTGGTACTATTAGGAGGTGTGGCTTTGTCAGAGTGGGCGTGGCCTTGTTGGAGGAAGTGTGTCACTGTGTGGGTGGGCTTTGAGCTCTCCTTTGCTCAAGCTGTGCTCAGTGTGGTACACAGTTCACTTCCTGTTACCTGAAGATCAAGATGTAGATCTCTCAGCTCCTCCAGCACCATGTCTGCCTGCCTGCAAGCCACCGTGCTTACCCCAACGATGACAATGGACTAAACCTCTAGCCCCAATTAAATGTTTTCCTTTATAAGAGTCGTTGTGGTCATGGTGCCTCCTCACAGCAGCAGAAACCCTAACAAGGTAGGGTCTGAGGGAATGGGGGAAGGGGAAGTCCATCCTGTGTTTTACAGCCATAGAAATGATGCCCAAGGATGAAGCTTTGGCTGCCGGGTCACCAGAGGTGCTGGGTGGGTAGGATGGTGGGAAGGTTCTGCCCTGCTGGAGCCTTCCTTTACCTGAGGCTAGAGAGGATGAGTTGTGAACCTGGAGTCCTTTACCTCACGGGGACAGAGGTCCTAGAGCGGCAGTCTCTACCCAGTTCTCCCTAAGGCGTGACCACACTGTCTCACTCCTGAACCTCTTCCAGTGCGCTAAATACCTGGCATATCCCTCCTCAGCTGTCTTCCAGCACCTGCCCTGACAGCATAGTCAGAGAGGAGGCTGTCAGGAGAGCCCAGTTTTCAGAGGGCATCAAGAAGAAGCTGGGGTTCTCCAAGCCCCTCTTTCCTTCCAGGTATGTGTTGCGTACCTGCATGGGTTAGTTCCCAATGTTGCAGTGCCAGAGCAGCTCCATGGTTAGAGGGCTGAGGTGTGCCTTCATGGCAGTCTCTATCTGGAGGTTCTGATGGAGAGTCCTTTTCCAGATGCTAATGACAGTTTACTAGAGGCCCCTCCCTTCATCTTCAAAGCCAGCTGTACAGCATTTTTTAACCTCCAAGTCTGTTTTTTGTTTGTTGTTGTTTGTTTGTTTGTTTTTGAGGCAGGGTCTCTGGCTAGCCTGGAAGTCACTGCATAGACTAGGCTGGCCTCAAACTCAGAGATCCACCTGGCGCTGCCTCTCAGGTGCTGGGATTAAAGGTCTGTGCTACCATGCCTGTCCTGGGATCAACTCTTTCTTCTCTTATAAGGACCCTCAAGATTGTAGGAATTCGCCAGGCAACTTGGGTTAATCTTCTCGCGTCAGGACCACTGACCTAATCACATTTGCAAGTCCCCTTTTTGCCATGCCAGGTAATCTACTCATGAGGTGCTGTGCTGGCTAATTTTATGTCAGCTTGACACAGGCCAGGGTCATCTGAGAGGGGGAAACCCTGACTGAAAAAGCGCCTCCATAAGACTGGGCTGCAGGCAAGCCTGTGAAACATGTTCTTAATTAACAATTGGAAGGGGAGGGCTCAGCCATTGTGGGCCAGGCTGGTGGTCCTGGGTTCTATAAGAAAGCAGGCTGAGCCGGGCAGTGGTGGCGTATGCCTTTAATGCCAGCACTCGGGAGGCAGAGGCAGGCGGATCTCTGTGAGTTCGAGGCCAGGCTGGATCAACAGCCTCCAAAACAATACAGAGAAATCCTGTCTCGTAAAACCAAAAAAAAAAGAAAAAGAAAAAGAAAAAAAAAAAAAAAAAAAGAAAGCAGGCTGAGCAAGCCATGCTAAGTCAGTAAGCAGCATTCTTTCGTGACTTCTGCATCAGCTCCTGCCTCCAGTTTCTGCCCTCCCTACTTTTGATGACAAACTGTTACGTGGAACTGGGTGTGAAATTAGCTCTTTCTTCCCCGAGTTGCTTTTGGTCATGGCTTTATCACATAACTAGGAAGACTGTGGACAACTTTGGGATGTTAGTTGGGTTGGTCACAGTGTCTATGCATCACTTGGACTGGGGTCAGGGCGGGTTGACATTCTTCTTCCTAGAGCTTTCAGTGTGCCCAAGGACTGGCCTCAGGCATCTAGGAAGGTCCACAGGTCCCCTTCCTGATAACCATGCCCATAAGGAGGCATGAGTCCCGTCTGTACTTGTCCCCTTCATTACTGAGCCTGAGCCATCCTGGGTCTAATCCAGGTGTCAAGTAGAGGCTGATGCAGCCCTAGCCCCCCCCCCCCCCGCCATGCTTTCCCACTGCATCTGTCTTCCTCTCTGGACTCCTTCTCTGGCCACCAACATCCAAGCCAGTTAGTTCTCCCTCCTCTGTTAATTTTTATCGTCTCCAAAACCGCATCCCAGGCCTCCCTGTGCCATCGACGGTACTGCAAGGGCTTTCTCTGGGCTCCTCACATTTGACCATGCCTCTTTCCCACCTCATCTCGTTCAGGCTCTTCCCACCCTCTGCGTGTCCAGTGTCTGGCTCGATGTAGCGACTCCAAAGATCTGCCGACATACTGGCTTCCTTTCGGTATACCTGAAATACTCAGTGCCCCTCCCACCATCCTTGAGTGGACTCATTCAGCAGGATGAACCTCTGGTACCTTCTTAAGAGCCATTTGTCAAAGCCGGGCGTTGGTGGCGCTCGCCTTTAATCCCAGCACTCTGGAGGCAGAGGCAGGTGGATCTCTGAGTTCGAGGCCAGCCTGGTCTACAGAGTGAGTGTCAGGAAAGCCTCCAAAGCCACAGAGAAACCCTGTCTAGAAAAAACAAAACAAAACAAAACAAAGAGCCGTTCACCACTAGCTTCTTGTTCTCATAGTTCCTGTCATGATGACTAAGGGACTCCATCTCTTTGGCTGCCATCTGTCTTGCTCTCCCTGGCAGATTAGCCCTTGCTCCCTGGAGGAGAGCTATGTCATATTCAACTCCACACCTCCTGGGCCAAGGCCACATCAACACTGGCCACACATAACATGCGGCACTGCAGGGTCCTCATCCTGCTTCTGGGACACAGGCTCGTGAGGTTAGCTCTGCTGTAAGCGCCTCCCACATCCAGCCAGTCCACGTAGCTTGGGCCTTTTCTCCTTGGAAGACAAGGCAGGAGGCAGAAGGGAACTCACTATTTCTTGTGGCCCTCAAGATCTGAATGGCGAGTCAGGCCCGCTTTAATGCCATTCCGTTAAGCCTCATATTAGCTCTGAGAGTCAGAATCAGGCTTTCAGGTGAAGAGACCAAAGAGGCATCATGGCTCTTACAGAAAGGGTGGCACTAGACCCCTTATGCCTTCTTCCCCACTGATCAGCTGACAGGGCCGCATGAGTCCCCAGGAGACATGTTGCTTGGTGTTGCCCCTGAACTAGGCCAGAGCCATAGGCACTATGGAGTTTCCCTTCTGTCCCATGGGTGCTCTGAGATCCGGCTGACTTAGGCCAACATTGCACAATGGAAGTGCCGCCCAGGGCTGGCTGCAGCCATGGCCCCGTTTCCTGTTTTCCGAGCTGGCTGATGGCTGGCTCTCGTGCTGGAAGACCTGGAAACAGAAGCAGACATGGCTTCTCTCTTCCATAGCCAAAAGGAAATCATATCTTCATTGGCAAGCACATTTCCAAGGAGATTTGCTCGAAGTCCAAGAGTTTAAAGGCCCTCGAATGCTTGCAGGTGATAAATAATTCAATGTGGTGGATGATTCATGAGAAAGGCCACTTTCAATTAACCTCAGGAATCAGCCCATCTAAGGAAGTCTCCCCTCTGTCACTTAGAAGATAAAGAACACACTGAGAGGCATGGACAAGACTGTGTCTTACATCTGTGCAACTCTTCCCTAGTCAGCTAAGGTCCCTCTTTATGAGACAGGGAAACCCTCTCCTCAGCATTGTTTGTTTCACTAGGGTGGCATCAGACTTGATTTCTTACCCATATATTATAGTTTGGGTCACACATTTGTCCCAAAGGAATGCATGTTGAGAGTTGGTCCCG